AAGACATGCAAGCCAGCAACAATGGAGCAATGACGACTATATGCCGATATTGCAATTCGTTAAAATTCAAAAGACAAACGGCTGTATTGTGCTGCGTAAGCGAAAAAGTCAACCTGGATCCATGACTCACATCACTACAGCCACAAACCAGTGTTCAATGGAAGTAATTCAGATTCCAGCCATTTTTATACCCCTGCAGGGTATTATAATTTCAGTCAGAAGTTTGCAACGCAGTGAAGGAGACCTTTCCGACCCTATAAAGTATATATATTCTTGATCAGCATCAACAGCCGAGTCGATCTAGCCATGTCCGTCTGTCCGTCTGTCCGTCTGTCCGTCCGTCTGTCCGTCTGTCCGTCTGTCCGTTTCTTCGCAAACTAGTCTCTCAGTTTTAAAGCTATCTGAATGAAACTTTGCATATAGTCTTCTATATACTCTCACTGCTATATATGTCGGAACGGGCCGGATCAGACAACTATATCATATAGCTGCCATACAAATGTTCGATAAATTTTTAGAAAAAAAATTATAACTTGGCTGTTTTTCAACATTTTTGCACCATTTTTTAGATATGGCCATTGTATATTATTTCAGAATTTCGACAAAAATTTCATGAAAATCGGACGACTATATCTTATAGCTGCCATAGAAACGATCGGGAAATTAATAGAAAAAACATTATAACTTCGTTGTTTTTCAACCAATTTTTATCTACTCTGAGTTATAAGCTTATTTTATTAGTTCAGAATTTTGGTATAAATTTCATGAAAATCGGACGACTATATCTTATAGCTGCCATAGGAACGATCGGGAAATTAATAGAAAAAACATTATAACTTCGTTGTTTTTCAACCTATTTTTATCTACTCTGAGATATAAGCTTATATTATTAGTTCAGAACTTTGGTATAAATTTTTTTTAAAATCGGACAACTATATGATATAGCTGCCATATAAACCGATCGGTAGATGTAGAGAAAATGTAAAACTGGGAATGTAAAACTGTAACTGTCAAACTCTAAACAATAAGTATAGGTAAAATTTAATGAAATAATATCTGCAAGGGTATACAAACTTCGGCGTGCCGAAGTTAGCTTCCTTTCTTGTTTTCAATACATCCTGATAATATCATCCTGAACTAATATCATTCGAGAAGGCGGCTTCATGCCGACTTGCAAGGTAAAAGATACACTTACACAAACAAAATTAATTGCAACATCTACACCATCATACAACCAGAAGTTACACGGTATTCTTCAACAGATAATTGTTTGCAATTACAGATACACGGATAAATATATAATTTGCATGGTTCAATGGTGCCAACACCAGATTAACCGCATCAATTCCTGCAAAAACATATATTTCATTTCGTCGATGGTGGACCAGCTGAATGTGCGGTGCAATTTTCATGGAACACAACTGTTAAAGAAACGAATTATTTAACAGTTGCAAGCATTTTTTTTACACCAATAATGCTGTAGTTAATATGTTCAAAACAGCATTGAAACGAATGCCATCGGATACGCACAAATTTTTCATAAGACCGGATTGTATCCCTGCAGGTTCCCCGTGAAACGCCTGCAGATGAATTGAATGCTTGCCTTAAGGCATCACCTTTATGGAATAACGAATAACGCTAACCACTAATATAAAAGTTCAACTTCAAAATGATCAAAGTGCTGCACAATTTTCCAAACAATTGTTAGCTTTTGGAAATGGAAAAGTCCAAATTGATGGGATATTTGGATTAATTACTCCTACCAATGACTTTTGCCGATTTGTAGACTCTCAATTAACTCTTATTGAAAATGTTTTCCCAATATAAGTGAGAATTATCAGAATTATGCTAGGTCAACGAGCAATTCTTGCCGCAAAGAATAATGATGTACACGCACTGAATTTCAACATTCAATCAAAAATTGCTGGCGATTTGGTGACATTGTATGCCCGTTGATTCCATAACAAATCTCTGGAGTTACCAGGTTTTCAACCACATAACTGCACATAACTGCAACTCAAAGTTGGTACAGTTATTATGATATGGCGTGATTTGAATCCACCGCGACTTTGCAACGGTACTCAACTTTCTGTAAAAAGACTTATACTGATTTTGATTGAAGCAACCATTATTAAAGAAACGTAGAAGGGTGAAAATGTATGTATTCCTCGAATACTAATCATTCCGACTGATCTTCCGTTTGGCTTCAAATGATTGTTCCAGTTCGCCTTGCGTTCGCAATGACAATTAACAAGTCGCAAGGCCAATCGCCTAGTGTTTGCGGGATAAATTTAGAAAATCATTGTTTTTCACATGGACAGGTATACGTTGCGTGCTCACGAGTTGGAAAGCCATCCGCTTCGCTTGTGTTAACAAAAAAAAAAGTGGTTTACCAAAGAGCACTTCAATGAAACTGATAATGTGCCGCAGGTGACGAAACGGAGTTTGCCCGATTTGCTAATTAACCTATACCAACAATCGGCACGTCCCAACCCCATGGGGTTGGCAAAAGCTCTGCCGGCAGCGCTGCTGTGTAGTGTAAAGACTTCGTGTGGCCTCGGCAAATGTATTCGCCTCAGCTGCTCAAAGCATCAGTGGTGTCAAATGATATTGCTCTGACTAAATCAGCCAATTTTTTAAATAGTAATAGCTATTGGTTTTGTATAGAAAACCAAATGCTAGCTATATATTTTCTTATATCTGGACATTTATTCGGATAACGGAACTCACGACGTCGTTCTTGCTCCGTTGCTCACTCACACAAATGCGCTTTTGACTTGCGATTGTGAGCGTGCCGAGCGCTGACCCTTCAGTTCCAAAATTCCTTGCCCGTCCGATTCCTCGCGGTATGTTCGAAAAACAAAAACAAATTACATGGGCCTCGTTCAGCGAAGTTCGAAACAATATCAAAAATAAAAAAAAAGTTGATCAGTTGACTTCAAAGCGTTCGGACGTGCTACTCTCGCTATGTTGTGCGCCGAATGTAAAACCGAAATCTCGGCATCCCAGCTTCGCCTCTCTGAGGCTGTTCGCTGCGCTTCTCTCTGTCGTCGGGTCTATCATAGTGCCTGCGTTGACCTGCCCAGCGAGGCAATCAAACTTTTGCTAAACCCCAATATCTTGTGGCAGTGCGATGGCTGTGTTGTTGCCAACGATTCCCACTCTAAAATTGACGAACTCGATTCCAAAATTAAGACTCTGGAGTGCTTGTACCAGAATCTAAATTCCAAGTTCTCTGAGGCATTTCCTACCAATTGTGATGTACAACAACAAACAAGCAACGTCACTGTTAGGTCTCGCCAGCCGCTATCTGCTGAGGTAACGGTAGCTCCTCAATCATATGCTGCTGCTACCACCTTATCCTTGGTCCAGGGACATGCCCTGCGACCCACGAATGATGTGAGAGATAACTTTATCACAGTTCAAAACAAAAAGAAAAGGAAGAAGATCAACAACAATAATAATAAAACCGTCGTTGGAGTTGCGGCTGCGTCGGATAATCTCCAAGTTTTGCAGAGCATTAAATATTTGCATGTTGGCAAGTTTAATGTCGCCACGGAACCTGATGCTATTTCCAATTATGTCTCCTCCAAATTAAACTTGGATGCTAAGGCAGTTTCTTGTGTTAAATTGGTAAAAAAAAGACGTTGACATTGCTACCTTAAAATTCGTCCACTTTAAGATTGGCGTCCCGGAACAAAACTATGACGAAGTATTTAACAATGAATTTTGGCCGCGCTCAGTTAAGGTCAAAAGATTTCTCCGCAGAGAGAGGATTAATAAGGAAGACACCATTATCGAGCTGGCTGGACCTTCAAGATCTTCAACCCCAACTCTTTCGGCAAAAAACCCCCAGTGATCGGCGCCGCTGGCGTCGATGTTCTCTTGGATCTTCTTCCGCATTCCCTACCCCGCTATAACCAGGCGCTCTGGCTTAGGCCAAAGACCCCACAGCAGCTTCATCGCCCTCTTCACCTGCACTCGTCATCCACTGCCCGGCTCCCATTGCAACAACAATAACAACAGATGGGGCTTGCGCTGTCCCTTTTGTGCGATATTCTCCAACGGCTTGGTTTGGTTGACGCCCGCTCATGTGGGCTCTTGGCAGATATGCTTTCGCTCCCGCTGCTACAACAACTCTTGCCGATGTTGTTGTCTTCATCGTCTGCTGTGCGGCTGTATGCTGCGCAGTGCTCGGGTTCGCCGTTGGATCTTCGGGTTATGCTGTGTGCTGGCGGTACTGATACTCTTAAGTTGTTTACGACTTTGGATTGCTCCCTTAAGGCTCTTCTTGGATTTGCATTCCCATCTTTGCTGGCTGAGCGCAGCTTATGGTACCAACAACAACAGCTGTGGCCGTCTGACGTCGATGTTTATGGTTTGGATAGTACACAACCTTATCTACCTATTGCGGGCTTGTTGGATGCTACAGACAACTCAGTCAAAGTTCGATCCATATCGTTGCTCAAGGCTGCCACTGGATTGGTTACTTGTGATCTGCGCCCCGCATAATCTAATCCTACACCTCTTGTTGTTTTGGCTGCGCTGCCTGCTCATCATGAACCTGCGCCGCCCCTCTCTTCTTCGTACTGCGACAGCTCCAGCCGGAAAGTATTTTTCCAAAATATATCCGGCATGCGAACGAAGACGGACGCTGTTTATTTGGCATCGTCGCAGTGTGACTATTGTTGGAGCAGTAGATTATTATTATATTGTTGTTGAAGTTTACATGAAGAAAAAATAGAACTAAAACGTAAACAATGTAAAACAAAAAGCTTATCGCGTGCACTCAGCCGAGCTGAATAACCGAAACGCATAGCTTTCATAGCGAGGCAATTCGGACGCTGCTTGTGTCAAGAGAGTAGTCGATTAACCTTTGGAACTGCTGGCTGCGCCAGCGCAATAAAACTTTCGTGCGACTGCAGTTCTTTTCGTCTTCTTTTCTTTGCATTCGAGTGGAAATTCCCCAGCTAGGCCGCTAGTTGCTAGTCGCCTTTTTTATTCGAATTTTTTGTCCGGAAAACCCTCACGGATTTACATTTTGGCGCCCGAGACAGGGACTACGACTAGCTTTTCGATTTCGCGTCAGAAAAACGAACAAAAATAGTGAATTTTCGTCGTCTCGGCACTTGTTCCGTTTTTTTTATATTTGGCGAAAAAACCTAGCTGGCGGAACTCGGCCAATCTTGGATTCGGATTGGATCAAATTTTGGAAAAAAGAAAGTTCTGGAAATCATGCCCAACGATCAGGTATTCAGTGCCAAAAATTAAAACTTGGAAGCACTTTACGTTACGTGTGTTTGTGTGCAATTATCTGGCTGTAATTCTTGGCACTTTGTATATTGGAAAACCAATTAAAACCCACATTTAAAACCTCCAAATAAACAAATAAAAAGTGAACAACCTTTAATAATTTTTTGGAATTAAATTGTGAGAAAATTGATGTGCGTGCGGTACAGTTAAATACATACATATCTACATACTTATATACCAGCGTTTTGCCGCCAAGTTCAATTCCCTTTTGTGCAGTGGCAGAGCAGTTATTTTTGAGCTATATACTCTGGTCAGTGGCTTTCAAACCGTACATAGTGGCATATCGGTTAATTTCGACAGCATATACTCCGTCAGTGGTTTTCAAACCGTATTCAAAGTAAAATTCCTGCAAAACTCGGCAGTGAAATTAAATTCTGCACATATTATTATATTATGTATTATTATATTATCATGTGACTAGCGCTACAATTATAAGTGTAAACTTGCTGTGCTAGGATAATAATATAATAAAATAATAAAATAATATTATATGTACATATGTATGTATTTACGTGCGACATTAATTGTGATACAGTTTCTGGCTTTGGCGGTGCTTGTGGGCATCTTTAACCCGTATGGGATCCACTTAAATATTTTCGGACAGTTTGTCAAATAAAATTCAACTTGGTGTTTAATTTCGGCGTTGGTTTTTGGCATTATTAACCCTTATATAACCCAAATAAAATTTGGTGTGCTTGTGAATTTATATTAATAAAATTTAATATTGGGGTATCGGCGAAATTTTATCAAGTGAATAATAATTACGGAATCATTTGAGAAAGTGATTTATTAAAACTTAGTGCCAATAATTTACATTTGGAGCATTTTTATTAATTCCCAATCAATTTCAAAATGGCTGAAAGAGATTCAGCTGCAAAGCCAAATGCAAAACTTTTGATGGCTATGCAGAAACACGATATGGTTCTGAGTGACATCGTGCGAATGAAAAGGGCATTTGAGGAAAGAACTATTTCATTCGACAAAATTCAAATGGAATATCGAATGCAACTTCTCGAATCGTACTGTAAAAAACTAATGGATATCCAGGCAGACATTGATATACTATACCCAGAAAATTATCTGACAGCGTCGGTTGAGGATGCATGTATTATTACAAAGGCATTGTATCGCTCCGCAATGGTAGGAAGTTGAACCTCAGAGAATTAGTCAAGGGGATTTCAGTGGTTATCGTCATTACCAAAAATTACCAAAAATGAATCTGCCGAAGTTTAGTGGAAAACATTTAGACTACAAAAATTTTATAAGTCTATTCGAGAGTTTAGTTCAGAACGATCCATCCCTTACAAAGGTAGAAAAGTTCAACCATTTGCTTACATGTCTAACAGGTGATGCATTAGGAACAGTAAAGGCGTTTCAAATTTCCGAGTTAAATTATGAGAAAGCATTGGCAAGCTTGAAAAACGTGTACGACAATAAATGTTTGATTTTCTTCGACACGATTTCTCAGTTGTTTGACCTTCCCCAGGTATCGAAACCCCCTGCATCAGGCTTGAGGTCTCTTGTTGATGAAATATCGGCTCTGTATGCACCATTGCAGTCGTTGGGTAGTGCACCGGAGATCAATAATGCAATTTTTTCTCACATAGCTATGTCCAAGGTAGATCACACGACAAAATCCCGATTTGAGGATCTAGGATCTAGGATCTAGCTACAATAAGTTGCCCACATGGTGTGATTGTGCGTTTCAGTTGAATCGGCGATACCAGCATTTAGCTGCTGAGGAATCAACAAAAAGTAAAGGGAAGCCTAGCTAAGGTTCGAATAAGGAATACTCAAAATCGTCATTCTCATGCACAAAAGCAGATCACAAACCAGATTCGAAATGTCAATATTGCTCAGCGACGAATCATAATTTAGGTAGTTGCCAAGCCTTTATGGCTCTGTCCGTGATTCAGCGTTTTGATTTTACGAAACATAATCGGCTGTGCATAAATTGTTTAAATCCTGGTCATCCAGTTAAAAAATGCAAATCAACAAAGTGTCGCGTCTGCTCTAAGCCTCATAACACACTTCTTCACAGATAGGGGGTAGAGCAGCAACCTGTAGCTTCGGGATCAGGTCCTCAAGTGCAATCACAGTTGTTACCTGTAGCGTTTGATCATTCAAATCAAGCCCACTCATGTCATGTCGGAATTAGCGACCAAGTGATTCTTGCCACTGCCGTCGTTAAGGTGCGGGATAGATTCGGACAGTTTCAATTAGCACGAGCTCTTTTAGATTCGGGGTCGCAAATAAACTTTATGGCCGAAGATTTAGCAAAACTCTTGCGGTTACATAGGGAGGAGTCATATTTGAATATCACTACGGTCGGGAAGAACGATTCGGTAGTGCGGCTCAAGGTTCACACGTCAATTCACTCTCGCGTCAATGCTCATAGTTTCGCAACCGATTTTTGGGTGTTAAGGTCAATTTCATCATATCAACCTGGCTATGAGGTCAATTATGCCCAATGGAAAATTCCAGCAAACATTGAATTGGCAGACCCTCGTTTTCACAAGCCCGCAAAAGTGGACTTACTGATTGGCGCAGAATCCTTTTTTGAACTTCTAAGCGTAGGCCAAATAAAATTGGGTTCCAGCGTCACTGTCAGTGACAATATAAGTTCTCTCGACTCTCTGGTGGAACGATTTTGGGAGTTGGAACAAGTCCCTGAGAGATCGAAGGCTGTTTACACAGCTGAACAAGTTGCTTGTGAGAAGCATTTCGAGCACACAGTAAAAATACTTTCCTCAGGTCGTTTTGAGGTGAGTCTGCCATTTAAGACAAATCCAAGTGTTCTAGGCTTATCCTTCGAAACGGCAATACGCAGATTTCTTTCGTTGGAGCGAAGACTTGCGAATAACTGCGAGTTGCAAGACATGTATCACGAGTTTATGAGAGAGTATCTTAACCTTGGGCATATGTCACGGCTTCCAACGCCTCCTCCAGGACAACACTACTATATTCCACATCAATGTGTCCTGAGACCTGATAGTAGCACCACAAAGTTGCGAGTTGTTTTTGATGCGTCAAGTAAAACGTCAACCTCGATCTCATTAAATGAAACTCTAATGGTGGGTGCAACTATTCAGAGGAAGCTTTACGCTACTTTGGCATGATTTAGATTGAACGAATATGCCTTGACAGCAGATATTTCAAAGATGTATAGGCAAGTTAACGTTGCCAACGATGACCGAAATTTCCAACTCATTTTGTGGAGGAAAAAATCGACTCAAGCTCTCCAAACCTTTCGCCTAAACACTGTCACTTATGGGACAGCCTCAGCTCCATTCTTAGCCATTCGTTGTATGCTCACAGGAGCGAACAGTTTGGACGAGTTGGAAGTGATTCGCAAGGAAGTCACTGAGGTTTTGGAGTTAGGGGGTTTCCATCTAGCCAAATAGGCAACAAATCATCCAAGTTTAATGACTAACCAGGGACCAGAAAAATCACTTATATTTAACACCTCTGAGTCCGTTAAGACGCTTGGAATGAGGTGGAACCCTCAGAATGACGCATTTCATTATAGTTTGGAGGATTCGTTTCAATCCTTACCTCCCACGAAACGCAACATTTTGTCCGTCACAGCTCGTTTGTTTGACCCCTTGGGGCTATTGTGTCCGTTGATCACAAGAGCAAAAATCTAGCTTCAGGAGCTTTGGCGACAAAAACTAGATTGGGATGAATCAGTTCCTTTGAAATTGCATACAAGTTGGAACGAATTTAAGCAGAATTTATCAGAAATTGACAAGATATCCATTCCTCGATATATCTGTCTGTCGGCCTATGACGCTGTTCAAATCCACGGATTTGCTGACGCATCGAGCGACGCCTACGGCTGTTGCATTTATGTTCGCACGGTGGCTGGGACAAATAGGTTATCGAGACTGCTAACCGCTAAAACACGAGTGTCCCCGCTAAAAACCAAATCAATTCCAAGGCTCGAATTATGTGCAGCGCATTTGCTGGCCAAGCTATGGACTCAAGTATCTCCGTTGCTACACAAGATAGAGTTGGAGAGCGTTAATTTTTGGTCGGACACCCAAGTCACTCTATACTGGTTAAAGAGGGATCCGTCTACTTTAACAACATTTGTCGCGAATAGAGTTGCTGAAATCCAAGAACTCTCAGAGAATATAGTCTGGCGTCATGTGCCTACAGAAGAGAATCCGGCTGACTTAGTGTCACGTGGAACAGATATAGAGGGTTTGAAGCGCACTCTATGGGAAAATGGACCTGAATTCTTACTGCGAAATCCAGACGAGTGGCCTAGTTCTCATCAGGTTGACGTATCACAGGAGTTACAGTTGACCGAGAATAAAAAAAGCGTAGCAGTATGTTCCGTCACAAAAAACCAACCAAATGTCTTTATGGAACTTGTTGGACGATGTTCGTCATTTAATAAATTAATGCGGATCATGGCATACGTAAATCAAGGGAAGAAAAGTCAACGCGATGTTGTTATTTCGGCCAACGAACTGAAGCTGTCGTTTCTTAGGATGGTCCAAGTCCTGCAAAGAGTTGAATTCGAGTCAGAATATGTTAAGATAGAGAAATCTGAAAGTTTGAGTCCACATCCGTTCATACACTCCAGCGAAATAGATGGTGTGAAGTTTCAACTAATTTGGGTTGGGGGATGAGTATTAAACGCGCCAATTCCGTATGATGCCAAATTTCCGTTGTTACTGCCATCGAAGTCAGAGTTTGTTTCGTTGTATATTCGCAACTTACATCGGACTCATTACCATGCTGGTGTCAAGGTTTTGGTATCGCTCTTGAGACAGCAGATATGGCTTATCAATGCTCGAGGAGCATGCACTAAAATTGTCCGTAGCTGCGTACACTGTTTTAGGTACAAACCAGTGCTAATGGACCAGATAATGGGTAATTTACCCGCTGATAGGGTCAAAATGGCTCGCCCCTTTTTGGTTTGTGGGGTAGACTTCTGCGGTCCATTTTATGTATCATTGAAGATCCGCGGTAAACCCCCGATTAAGACTTATGTGGCCATCTTCGTGTGTTTCTCGTCAAATGCTGTTCACCTTGAGCTTGTGATAGACCTATCCACTGACAATTTTTTATCTGTTTTCAAAAGGTTCGTCGGGAAGAGAGGGCTGCCGAAGAAGGTGTACAGCGACAACGCCACGAATTTCGTAGGAGCGAGCAACGTGCTGCAGGAGCTGAACGCAGCGTTTACCACAGCGAGGATCAGCTGAGAGGGTACGCGGCTCAGAGAGGCGTCGAGTGGTATTTCATACCGCCGAGGTCACCACACTTCGGAGGACTGTGGGAGGCAGCCGTCAAGTCCGCCAAACATCGACTGCTGAGAGGGTTCGGCATCGCCAAGCTAACGGCCGACGAGTTGAGCACCCACCTGGTCGAGGTAGAGGCGCTGCTCAATTCTCGACCAATCGCATCGCCTGGCAACGATCCCAACGATGGAGAGGCGCTGACACCAGGACACCTGCTGATCGGTCAGGCTCTTCTTTCGCTGCCGCAAGAGTCCGACACAGTCGTAACCTCCAGCAAGGCCGGATGCGAGTACTTGAGGCGGTGGCGAATGCTGTCCGCTCTCAAGCAGCAGTTTTGGGACGGTTGGTCCAAGGACTACCTCGTCAGCCTGCAGCAGCGCAACAAGTGGAGCACCGGATGCAGCGATTTGGAGGTCGGACGCTTGGTGCTCGTACTCGAGGACAACTCGCCCCCACAACGGTGGCTCACAGGGCGCGTGGTGGCAACAACAGTCGGCGCGGACGGTAAAGTGCGTGTAGCACAAATCCAGACGTCAGGAGCGCGCCATCCATAAGTTGGCATTGCTGCCAATAAACAGCGCTCCTAACGAGGAGGTTAAAGCGCCGGAGGCCTTCAACGGGGCCGGAATGTTGGAGCAGTAGATTATTATTATATTGTTGTTGAAATTTACATGAAGAAAAAATAGAACTAAAACGTAAACAATGTAAAACAAAAAGCTTATCGTTTTGCACTCAGCCGAGCTGAATAGCCGAAACGCATAGCTTTCATAGCGAGGCAATTCGGACGCTGCTTGTGTAAAGAGAGTAGTCGATTAACCTTTGGAACTGCTGGCTGCGCCAGCGCAATAAAACTTTCGTGCGACTGCAGTTCTTTTCGTCTTCTTTTCTTTGCATTCGAGTGGAAATTCCCCAGCTAGGCCGCTAGTTCCTATTAGTTGAAACTTGGCTTAATATGGATTTCTTCGACAATGAATTCTTCGACCCCAATTTATACCAAGTATTCCGAAAGGATCGAGATGCTTCGAAAACACTGTGCTCTAGAGGTGGAGGCGTCCTTATAGCGGTTCGGCGAAGTCTGTGTTGCACATCTATCCGGCTTTGGAATGAGGACTCTATTCTGGATCAACTTTGCGTGTCTCTTGCTGGACCTTTGGAAACTATTTTTCTGGTGGTTTCATATATACCGCCATGCAGCGCATTCGAACTTTATAAGGCCCATGTGGATAATATCACCCGCATTAGCAATGATCTGGAGGATTCGCAGTTCATCTGTGTCTTTGGCGACTTCAACCTCTCTTCGTTGGTGTGGGTGCATGATGTGGACTCTCAAGTAATGGTTCCCAGTAACCTGCATCTGCCGCATGAAATTTTGGTGATTGACGATCTCTTCAGTATGGGATTGGTCCAAATTAATCATGTATTTAACAAATTAAATAGGCTTCTAGACTTAGTTTTCGTGAGTCAGGACTTACACTTGAACTTAGCGTCTAGTAATAATCCTCTTTCGGATTGTGATGTTCACCACCAGCCTTTATTATTATCAATATCTACGTATATATTCTCTCCAAGTAATTCACCAACATATTCCATGTATATTAATGCTAGCAATTTAAATTTACTTCGGAATGATATCGCAAATATTAATTGGGTGGAGGTCCTTTCGCATGTTAATTTGGACACTTGCTATGATAACTTTCTCTCATATATTTCAATCATCATTAATAGACATGCGAGAAAAAGGTTCCACAGTTCTTATAAACTGCCCTGGTATACGCCAGGTCTAAAAAAATACAAGAACCTTGGGAATACATTTTATAAACGTTTTATTGAAAATGGTAACTCTTCAGATTTTGAAAGATACAGGCAGCACAAGCGCGAATTTGAATTCCTAAATAAATTCCTATATAATCAATATATAGCAGATGTGGAACGAAATTTAATTAATAACCCGAAATCATTTTGGCACTTAATTCAAAAAAAGCAACTTCCTCTATTCCTTCTCGTATGTTTTACAATGGCTCAATTGCATCGTCTGATCTTGAAGGGGCAAATCTTTTTGCCAAATACTTTGCCTCAAACTTTGAGCCAATTTCTCTATGGAGCGATGATGCAATGCTGCGTTCCATTGCTTCGAGCTCAAACATTGGGTGCCTGCAGGTCTCCGAATCTGACTGTCACCTCGCAGCGGCAACCTTCAATGACTCGGAAAAATTCGATTGTGATGGCCTCTCACCTTTTATTTAAAAAAATTGTATTGGCGCTCTGGATGAGCCTCTTCAAATTATTTTTAATAAATCTCTCATTAGTGGAGTATTTATTCAGAGATGGAAGCTGGCACTAGTTACCCCCATCCTTAAGTCGGGTGCTAAAACTATAGTCTCAAACTACAGGCCAATTTCAAAGCATAGCAATGTCTCCAAGATGTTTGAGCGAATTGTGGCTAAACAGCTCGCCTTTCTTGTTGGTAATACCATTAGCCCCAATCAGCATGGTTTTATGCCTGGAAGGTCGACTACCACAAACCTTGCTGTATTCCACCATTTCTGCACTAATGCCTTCTTGAGTCACAACCAAGTGGATGTTATATACACGGATTTTGCTAAAGCGTTTGATAAAGTGAGCCATAAGGTGCTATTAGCTAAGCTAAAAAAAAATGGGCTTTAACTCATCTATGTTGACCTGGTTAAGTTCCTATCTTAATGGCCGCAGGTATAGAGTGGCATGTAATGGTCATTCCTCGGATCCGTATATTGCGACTTCTGGCCTTCCTCAGGGGAGTGCCTTGGGCCCATTTCTTTTCATCCTGTTCATTAACGATATAGGGTCATGCTTTAAAAATGCTGAATTTCTTATGTTTGCTGATGATTTAAAAATATTCAAATCAGTGAATTCAGCTCTTGATTGTGCTAAGCTGCAGGAGAATTTGTATAGAGTTGGGAATTGATGTTCTTGTAATAAGCTGCCTTTGAACCTTGCTAAATGCTTCACTGTTACTTACAGCAAACGGCTTAAGGGGGTCTTCTCATTGGGCAACTTTTTTTTCGATTTTTTTTTGCATTTATTCATAGCTTGGGATGGTCTGTATATGTCCCCAAGAGGATTTTTAGAAATTCGAAATACTTTAGAAGATACAGCCTTTTTTGTGAAGCAAGGTCTTCGCAAAATGAGCTTTTTTCAAACTTCAAACGCGTTTATCTCGAAACCACGTTTTTCGAACTGGCGGCCATGATATCTCCAGTTCAACTGAACCGATTTTTATGAAACAAAGTGGAATCGACACAGAATTGTCACCATTCTCGGGTGACGGAACAGATTTTTAAAAAAATTTTTTTTTAATATTTTTTTTTTTTACACTAAACTACAAAAAAAAAGCCCGAAATCGAAATTTTTTTTAAATAGCCGCCATTTTGTTTAAAAAAATTTTTTAAAAAATCTGTTCCGTCACCCGAATATGACATCTATGAATATAACCCCGTTCTTATTTTTCATTTCGGACGCTTTGGAGACCCTGAATCGTGGCCGCCAGGACGACACCTTTTTTTTCGACCACCAAGTTTGAAGTCTCATTACTCCTTGAACAACCCTCGTATCGAGGCAAGAACAACTTTTTTAGTTACTTTGAACATTTTTGAATACAATAAATAAAAAAAGTTTTCAATTATTCTTTGCGTTTTCAAGTAAGAATTTTTTTAAAAAGGGTCCAAAAAACGGCTTTTGAATGAGAAGACCCCCTTAATAACTCTATGTTTTCCTATTCAATATAATCGAGTGTGCTGCCCTGCAGAACTGAAGCCTTAGATTTGGGTTTAAAGCCTAGTACTCTGACGAGAAAAACCTGCTGTCTAAAATAGACAGCGGAATCGCTGTTTATTTTGCTACCGAGCTAGTGTGACCAAAACAAATTAAGGAAAATCCTGAAATGCCATGAAAATTTACTTTCTATGGCGTTTAAGGATTTTCTTAGGTCACACTGGACAGCTGCTTGTAAAAAAATATTCAAAAAAATATTACAAATAGTAAAAAATATGGCACTAAAATGTCCTTTGTGGGTTAAATTCCATATTATGGGCTTCCCCTTGACAGCCCCTATCAATGCCACCTTTTCCCTTCAACTTTCCCTCCATTAGGGGTGTCTAAATAAATCAAATGAATTATTTAGACAGCGCGATATCAGCTGTTTACTATCTTGATCTGGCAACGCCATTCAATTTTCGCAGGCTTCATTTTCGTCGTCAGAGTACCGAAAAAAACGACGTGTCTAAAAGTTCCTCTTTTTTTTCGACACCGTTTTTTTTATATGGAGTTTGGCCGCTGTCTAAATTTATACAGCGGGTTTTTCTCGTCAGAGTACTAGGCTTAAGAATCGAGATATTCGCGTTAAATAATTAACAAAAAAAATAAAATATTTAAAAGTTGTATATTTATATATAGAATAAAGAAATGCTGAAAACACACACAAAACAAAGTTTCATAACATTTTACTTATACTTATTATGTTTACAGTTTGACAGTTACAGTTTTACATTCCCAGCTTAACATTTTCTCTACATCTACCGATCGCTTCTATTGCAGCTATATGATATAGTTGTCTGATTTTCATAAAATGTATACCAAAATTCTGAAATAATTAAATAAGCTCGTAAAAGCCCGAAAATCTGAAATAATATAATTTGGCCATATCTCAAAAATTGAAATATTGAAAATATATATTACTATAAGCATAAAGTATTTTTCAGGCAAGGTGTACTTATGGCAACATTTCTCACTCCAAATGATTGGTGGTAACACTTCAGACAACATATAGATCTTCGATGACACTATCAATTAGAAATTAATTCACGATCATACGAAATTATATGAACAAGCTCCGGTATTTTCATGCCATAAAGTATTTTTTTCTTACAAAACAAACCTTTGATGTCGTAAATATATTTAAAGCTAGATTATGCTAGATGAATTTTAAAATAAGCTATATTTAAAGCTATAAGCTAAAGCGTAGTACTCTGACGAGAAAAACCCGCTGTCTAAATTAGACAGCAGAATCGCTGTTTATTTCGCTACCGAGCTAGTGTGACCAAAAAAATTAAGGAAATTCCATGAAAATGTACTTTTTATGGCGTTTAAGGATTTTCCTTGGTCACACTGGACAGCTGTTTGTAAACAAATATTCAAAAAAAATATTAAAAATATTAATAAATAAGGCATTAAAATGTCCTTTGTGGGTTAAATTCCATATTATGGGCTTCCCCTTGACAGCCCCTATCAATGCCACCTTTTCCCTTCAACTTTCCCTCCATTAGGGGTGTCTAAATAAATCAAATGAATTATTTAGACAGCGCGATATCAGCTGTTTACTATCTTGATCTGGCAACGCCATTCAATTTTCGCAGGCTTCATTTTCGTCGTCAGAGTACCGAAAAAAACGACGAGGCTAAAAGTTCTTCTTCTTCTTTTTTCGACACCGTTTTTTTTATATGGAGTTTGGCCGCTGTCTAAATTTATACAGCGGATTTTTCTCGTCAGAGTACTAGGCTTAATGTTTGATGCCAAATTTCTTTTTATTGAGCATATTAATTATATTATTCCCAAAGCATATGCAATGTATGGCTTTATACGGCGAAATGCGGTTCAATTTTCAGACCCTT